GCAGTGCAATTCGAAGTATTCAATTTTTATATACTCGCATAGCCATTTGCATAATCATGGACACTTTGCGCCGGCAAACTCAATGGCAAAGCTGATGATGCCATCGGCAGCAGCAGGGATACGCTCTAGAAAGAGATGGCCGTAGGTTGACCCAAAATAATGGACACCTATCTTCGCTTTACAGCCCCAGCCGCTCACTCTGCCCTCAAATGACCGTTCAAATGTGTGAAAATAGTGGACAATATGTGAGGCAATGCGCGTTCTTGTCTCCCATTTGTATGGCTCGCATGTGTGTGTGTGCCCTGTGTGTATGCGTGGCTTTGTGAAGGTGCTGTTAACGCCATTTTTTCGTTGGCCTCGATGTTACTTTGCTGTTCATTGTTGTTGTTGTCGTTGTTCTTGTTGTCGTTGTTGTTGCTGTACAATTTCCGCATCCGGCGCGTAAATGCTACCGTTAGCCCAGCCAACAGCAGCAGAAGCAGCAGCAGCAGCAGCAGCAGCAGCAGCGCGTATTGGTTTATGCATGAGGATTGAGCTACGCCTCGAACGCTTCGAACGCCTCGTACGCTTTGAACACTTCACATGTCAGACGCTGTGACTTAACGGGAGAGATCCCGGCTTGCATTTAAATGAAATGCCAAGCGATTTGAGGATACAGCCACCAAACTAAAGAACTAAAGAGCTACAGAACAGAACTCTCTCAAAATGCACTTACCAAAACTGCATCAATTATTCAACAGCCCATGGCCGGGCCCGGCCTGGTCAGGGATTGAGCCAAGTCGCCAAGTCGCAACGAGTTGAGCAGTTGAGCGCTTCGAGCTTGATGCATGCCTGCAAAGTACACAAAAGCCAGAAGATGGGGGTTAACAGGGTGGAGATATGCGGCATAAATATTAAATGCAAAATAGCGAAAAGCTGAGAAATCTGCAGCCAGCAGTTGCAGCAGTTGCAGCAGTTGCTGCATTTGCGCGTTGACCTGCCCAAAACAAAAAATGAGAAATGAAAAGAAAAAAGAGAAGTGGGATACAAAGGATTCTCAAGCGCGAATTCTTAAAGTAAGTAAATTCACAAAAATTATGCACTATTCTTCTTCTCTTTTTATATAAATCAAATAAAATATGCGCGCGCGTTCGCGCTGAAAGCTGAGGCCAAGAAAAACGAATAACAACAGTCGGAACAGAAGAGAGCGTGGTTAGGAGTAGGCGGAGCATAGTTTAAAGTCCTTTGTGACCTGGTTTTTGGTCATAACAATATTGCCAACCGAAGCGTGGTGCAGTGCACACAATTACCGTGCCAACATTTGCTGGGCGATTGCGAATGGCGTGGGCGTGGCACTGTGCGAATGACGTCATGTTTGCACTCGCACATGCACAACTACCATTACGACCACGATGGCCACGACGTCGCCGCCGACGAGGACAACAGAAACAGCGACAACAACAACAACAACAACAACGTGACCTGGCGACTCGTCGCGACGGTCACTTGCTCTAAGGTTTAAGGCCTGCTGCTGGCCATTGCATACTTTCATGCGCCGCCTATGGCTGACAAATAGACGCCTCTATTTGCAGAATATGTATTTGTATGCATGTCCGTAACAAGGTTAATCAGCTGGCTGTCTGCTCATTTTAATTGGCTCGGAGCTGGCGCCCTAATTGAGTTGTAAAAATGCGAAACTATTTTGCGAACAACGAAATTTAATGCCCGAGCGCTTGACGAGCTTTAAACTTAAGAGCTGCCACCTCGTAAATTGTAAAATGGAATAGAAGATGAGGCGCGCCACGCCGAGGGGATGGCGCAAGCTCCTGACGCAGCTGCTGCAGACTGAGTAGAGTATTCAAAGCCAGTTGGAAAGACGCTGAGACAAGTTCCAAATGCATTTGAAAAAGCTGTTGATTTGATTGCTCTAGAAAGGGAAGTAGGAATATGAACTCTGATAAGTTTTACCTACAGCACAAGCATATTTATGCAGACCTTAGTACATCTCAAGAGATTTCAGAGCAGATGGGAGGACCGGGTCTTGACCTATAATAAATCAAATATCCCCTGGGACACCATCATATATCTCCTAATTATATTGTATTTTGTAAGGAGACTTAATATATATATATTTTTTTTTATATATATGTATATATACATATATAAATATATTTTTATTTTTTAAATTGAATAAATAACTTAAGATCTTGAGTTAGTACAATGTAAATAAATAAAAATAGCATACTAATTTATTTTATATCTGTATTTCAGCTTTACAACTTATATTCTTTAAGTATTTTGTCATACTTATCATACGTCGACCTAAGGCAATTTTTTTGACTGGTTGGACCCTGCAGCAGTACTAGTAAAGACTCCGATTTTTAAAACCTACTGCACCATATATATATTCTTGATCAGGGCGACGAGCTGAGTTGAGTTGGCCCTGTCCGTCTGTCTGTCCGTCCGTCTGTCCGTCCGTCCGTCCGTATGTATGAACGCGTCGATCTCAGAAGATATAAGAGCTAGAGACTTGAAATTTTTTTTCCTAGGTCCGTGTATATCACGCGCATATCAAGTTTATCACTAAAAATC